GCAATTCCTGTAGGTTAGGCCATGCAGCTCCTATGCGTTGAAGATCGGACTCGAGGAGGGGGAATGCGACACCTCGAAAGTCGAGCACAACCATGCGCAACTCATGCTGCCGGAGAAGGGCGTCCGCAAGTGATAGCCATGATGTGGGACTCCACACGAGCGGGTGTACTGCGGGATCAACGCCCGACGAGTCCCTCTCTGGCGAGTCCCCCTCTGGCGCATCGCCATCCAGGTGGGCGGCCTGCGGGTCTCCGTCTGGGTGGGTCATCTGCAAGTCGCCGTCCGGGTGGGTAGGGAGATTCACCGCGCAAAACCAGCGAACAGTGAGTCCGAAAAGCACCATGTGTTGCACAACAAAGTGTGCCGTCGCTAGAGAGTCGATGGAGGGATGGGCTGCGCTGTACAGCGCTGTCGTGGTGGCCTGTGTGACGGGGAGCCAAACGACCGCAGTGCCTCCTGGGACTGATGACCAACAGGACACAAACTTGTCGATATGCCCAGCGATCGAGCCTTCGCTTGCCGCGTAGCAAAGCTTCGGGGCTCCTAGCGCGGAACAGGGAATGAGCTTAAAGTTCTCATGTGCATGGGATCTGCTTACCATGCCCGTGTGCCCTGTCGCTCCTGACTTCCCTAAGGTGTGTGATCATCGACTTTTGGATGTTTTCACAGATGTATGGCGAAGGTGTGCGTGCGCCTGTACCGCCTGTACATAGAATGTACGTGTCTTCCATGGGTGCCCTGACTTTTTGGGAGAGAAGACCCAGAGCACCTTGCACCCAGTCCTCACAGGAAGTGATCACGTTGTGCATGACGACCTGCGCTACTCTGATGTTGGGCCTGCATAGGGTGTCGAAGGAAAGTGGGTCTCGGTAACCTGAGTGCGGGATGTAGATGTCGTTCCACGAGAGTTCGAGCAGTGCTGGGAAGAGCGGCGTGTTGGTTTTGGTAACAGGAATGAGGGAGCCAATCAAGTGGAGGAAGTCGCTCGATGTCGAACATGCTGACGTACTGAGAGTCTGCACAAGAGAAGCGTAGTAGAGGAAATGATGGAAAGCCTGGTCCCTGACTGCGGTCCCGGAGTACTTGACATGTAGATATCTAAGTTTTTCCCATGAGCCGGTTGTCTATAGTACAGGGAAAGGCGCAAACCTTTTGATATCGGAGGGGCTCCAACCTCCCAAAGCCAACTTGTCGTCCTCATGCACAAGCACATGGAGAAGGCGGCGGAGATCGTGAAGGATCCGCCAGGATATCCTCGACGTCTCCATGAAGAATAGCTTGCTGGTGAGCATCAGAGCTAGGAGGTCCGAGTAGACTGGCCTGGGCAGGTAGAAGGTCGGAAAATCGCTGCGGGGAACAATATAGCTCAACACGCGCACCCGCAGTTCGTCCACTATCAGGGTGCGGATTGTGGCCGTCTCCTCGGTGCCGGACACATGGGAAAGCCCTGTGTTTGCATTGAAGCCATATGAGATAGACATGTTGTGGAGCTCGAGGATGTGGAGGCTAAAAAGCAGATGCAGTGGACGCAAAGTGGACGGTGGCGGCGGCGAGCGAACAGATGAACAATACGCGCAAAGCTTCGAGGCGCCGATCCCCGATCGTGTCGCGCGCCAGACACCCTGATCATGTTACCGCGATTGTGTCGCACTGCCATTACGTCGTACGTGCAGTGCAGAACGTCAGCCGCACCATGTTAAATTCTGTTGATGTTAGTCTTCTAAGTAAAAGAATTGAAAAAGGTGCAGCGCAAGGATTCGATCCCTTGTCGGTAGCCGTCAGGCATAGCCTTCTTTCCGCGCAATAACCACTACGTCAGCCACACTCACAGGTATGCTCGTATACACATTCTATAACCGGACCCATGTAGTGCAGAAGCCGGCTAGGATCTTCATGCAGTGGTTCAACGTTGTCTCCGACGAGCTTCTATCCTCTCTATATGTACAATGGCCGACAGTTCTCTACCTGTGCCTTTACAAAACATCTATGCCTCTTACGAGTGGCTGAGTGAGCATGTGAATAACGCCCTTCACACTCGGCTCGGAAATACGCACCATTTGTCCGAAGCCAGAAACCTGTGCTTGCGCCTTTCAGCTACAGTCGAGCAGGCAAGCTGTCAGCCTCTACCGCAGATGTATTGATTGCCTGACATATAGGGACCAGCACATAGATATAATCCCTCCACCAGACTTGGAAACCATCCGGGGCAACCTACTCGCCATGCAAGATGCCCTACATCTGGCCGAACAGCTCTGTGGCGACCCCGTCGACAGCGAGCCAGCTATTCCACTGGGAACCCATGACCCCAGTACTGGTGGGCGACCCGCAGTCCACATTTCCCCAGAAGATCTGGCTGCTCTCCGGTCAGGACGGACCACTCTTCGGCAAATTGCCGATATCTACCATTGTCATCCACGAACAATCCGTCGTAGGCTGCTCGAGTTTGGACTGTCTGAGCCAGGGCCTCCGGTGTACACCGAAGAGGAACTTCCGGATGGAAGCCTCACTAGACACTATCGTGCTGGTGTCTCTAGTGCCCTGTCCCAGATTTCTGACCCGGATCTCGATGCGGTCATCTTTTCCATCCACGAGCAATTCCCTACCTTTGGGCGACGTATGATCGATGGATACCTGTTAGTGCTCGGTCATCGGGTTCCAAGGCGTCGCCTAGAAAATTCCTATGCTCGTGTCATCGGACCGTCCATCTCTGC